GACTCACTAGAATATGTTATGTCATCTAGAAATTTATGTAAGGAAAAACCTCATAAATAAATTTTGGCACGTTATGTTGACCGTCCTATGCATGATAAGTGATGGTCCGGGATTTTTCTGGAAACGGTTAACTATTACTATTCAAAAGAACTATTCTCAGACACATCTCTCTTTTATAAATTACACTACTTTTCAAAATCACTCCTAATAAGGATGAACAAAAGTAATGACATGCATACATATATCCATGATTTTCAAGGCAAGACTTCAAACGATTTCATAGAAAATATTGGATTTTCTGATAGTACAATAAGAACGATTCTAAACAAGTGTAAACGATTTTATACAAAAATGCTTATGAACTCACCAACTTTTTAGTTGACGCTTTTCAAAACGACTTGTATTCTTAGGGATCTAATAAGCAGGCAACAAGGGGCGCGGATGCAGGATTAATTAGCTGTAGTTTGAATTTTTTTTTTTTTGCTTATGTCTCTTTTGTGTAACTCGAAGAACAAATACAATATGTAAACAATGTAAGTTTGTTATCTCAATGTATGATGTTTGGATTGCTCTGTTTCATTTATATTCAATTGTTATGATACTGCACAATGAAGTCACCCGCCTCCGGACGTTTCCGTCGTCTGGTCCGGGGGTGTGACAGATAACCCTTTTGCCATACACAACTTGGGTACGAAATGAGACATTGATCTTTGATATCAAACGCCAACCAAACACCAAAATGAACATAAAGGAACAGGGATGCGTTGGGCTTGTGAATTTGGTGAAGAACAATTTTACAAAAGAAAGATTTTGTGGTGGTGAATATGGATATCGAAGGAACAGAATTTGAAAACATTTCACAAACCTTAACTTGAAGTTGGAAAATCGTTTCACAAGCCCTAACTCGAACATCAATATAACCTAAACGATTTCAAAACCCATTTTGAACTTGAAATCTGAAGGAAATCGAACTCGAATAACCCTAGGGTTTTCGTGTGTTCATCTTCGTCTTCACCAGCTTCGATTTCAGAAACAAAACTGCAAACGATTTTACTTCCTCTTCAAAGATTCGGATTTTCACACATAAACACCAAGAACGAACAGTTAGGTGTGTTTTATGAGTTCATTTTCTAATTTTTGTGTATGGTTCCTTCAATAAAACCCAAATTAAAAGTGTGCCGAAGGTAAGCAACGTCGGAAATGACGCCGGAGAAGATGAACGGAAAATCAATATTGGCCGGAATACTCATGTTTGGCCGGAAACCACGTCGGAAACCGAAAAAACCGTCTATTACCAGTCATACTGGTATAATGTACACGTTTCAATAAGTTCAAGGTTAAATAAAACATGAAAAATAATTTCATGACCAAATGTTAACATTTGCATAAGTATGTAACCATTTCAAGTCATTATCCATTTCTTTTACAATTCTATGAAATATATACATAAAAACAATCAGATATCTCAATATATTATTATTATCGAATCTTCGATGAAATTTTGAGTAAAATTAAATATATATATATATATACATTATTATTTCATATAATTAAATTGTATATATTAATACTATAAAAGCTATTATTTAGGATAAATACTTAATATTTATGTTTACAAGTATTAAACAAAGTAATTGATATTTATTTTTTGTTATTAAACAAAGTAATTGATATTTACTTTTTTGTTATTAAACAAAGTAAAAATATAGGTAAAACTATTACCACAATCTAATTTATACGTAAAAATTGCAAAAAAAATATAAAAGTTGATTTAGAGCCTATACGACATCGTTTAACCATTGACAAAAAAAACATCCCCATGCTTCCTTATTCTAAAGACAAAAATAGGTGTCCAAAGGTTATGGGCAAAAATGTAAAATTGCAACCGGCGGCTGATATTTTGAGGGCAATACAAAATATCTGGTTAACAAACATAAAAATCCGACGGCAGGAAAATATCTGAACGCTGACGTGGATCTAAGACGACCTGGCTCTAAGAACACGCCATGACACGTGTAAAAGAGTTGACATCTGGCCGTTTTTACCCCTTCAGCATCAAAATGGCATCTCGAACGCACTTTTTGGGTCACTTTGTCACCAGAAAATATCCAAATCTACAGCGATTTTTCTCTCTCACGATTTTCTTTAATTCTCTATTCAAGATCTTTATTGTGATATCAAAGATAAAGTTTGTCCTCCGGCGACGGCGACTTTGACGTAGACGTGCTATTTCGAGTTGGAGATGACCGGCAACGTGTTACTGAGTGATTTTGTGGAGCAGGAGGAGAGTTCAATTATGGTAGTTTATTTATCCTTAATTTGATCGTATGTTTATTTCGATATGATGTTAGATTTGTGATCAATAATTTAAGATCTGTTTGTGTCTATTTTCTATCTGAATTGAGGTGTGTGTATTTAGGTTTTTTCGCCCTTTTGATCTTAATTGAGTTATCAGGTCTGTTTGTTTTAAACTTATCCTTATATTTCTTTGTAGCACTAATATTGTGGTTTATCATCGTTTTGCGTATGCTTTGCAATAGAACATCTCTTTCTCATATGGTGTTTTTGGCTGCTAATTCTATGGAGCGTAATCGCTTTAAATTCAAATTAAATGAGCTTCAATTCCAGCTTCAGACCTTGATTTCCGTGCTCTGAAAGCAGTCTTGTGGTTTTCTTAGTATTACGTTTGGTATTCTCCTTCGTGCTTTTATACTCTTCTGCAGATTGTTTCGCATCGATGTATGGAGAAATTTGTGTTTTGGGCTTCAAACAAGCCAACTTTTGATTTTTCTTTATAGTGTTTGTGTATAATCAATGTTTGTTTTTGTATTCTTCTATCATAGAGTATCAGTGTTCCCGTATTCTAGTTGTTTACATGAACTAAAAGATGCTTACACTTAACAATCATCGATCTCACACCTCACATAGTACTAGGGCTAAATATGATCTTGTATTCTTGTTCATATTCAAACTCTGTGACTTAAATGAATTCTTGCCTCATTAATAAGGGTTCTAAACATTTTTGTGTTCATTTCTCAAATTCTGTTCTCATATTTACTAATTCATACACTATTCTTTTCACAAATCAGGAATCCCAGAAAAAGGAACCATCAGAATGGACAAATGAGAAGCATAGTTTATATCTGAAGTCAATAGAAGCATCATTCGTTGACCAATTATACAACTCTTTAGATCTACAAAGCTATCAAACACAAAAAACCTCCACCTCAAATGCAATTTCATTTTGGAAAAACCACACCAATGCTCCACGTATCCCTTCTGGCCAGGTTTAAAATCTAACCCATTATACATCTCTTTTCAAACCTCTTTTATTTATTTCCATCCTTCTGATCCAATTTCTTTTGCAGTTTAAAGTTCATCAGGGTGGCTGTTGGTCAAAGAAAAAGTTCATGAAAGAAAATACACAACTGAAAGATTCAGAAAGATCCCATGTTTCTTTAAGCAATCCATGGATCCAACATTTCACAAATGGAAACAGACATGGAGCTATGACATCAGCATCCCCTTCCCTCCATGAAAGCGTATCATCATCAACTGAAACTTCACAGCAAAATCCTGTTCCTGAATCTGATAGTAATACAGGTACTTACTTCATGACGAGGAGGGCATTCATGTCTTTTGCACATTTATGAAAGTAGGATGCTATAAATTATAATAAACAAAGCAATCAAAGTACATTGCTATTTCTTGCATTTATTTAAACATCTGGTGAAATTTTTTTACAGAGGTGACGGATCAAAATTTTGTTGAAGACCTATCAATCGAGAAGACAAACACAAACAGACCAAACAACACAAAAAGGAAAAGAACAACTACAGTCGCTAATTCAAGCAATGATCAGGTAATTTGAATGATGGAAGGGTATTTTCGTCTTTTACACAAACTCGAGATCAAAAGCAAACCCTTGTCCCACTATTAACGTCAGTCTTAGCCCCAGTCTCAATCCAATGCACGCCAAACAAAGTAAAACCTGTCATGTCCTGTCCTGTCCTGTTCTGTCCTGTTCTGTTCTGTTCTGATCTGTTTCTGATTGAAATTTGTTTATCAGGTGGTTCCTTTTTGTACTTCTCCTACAATTGCAAAAAATAAGGCCTTATAAAAAGATGTTGAAGATGAGGAATTTATATGTTGTTCAATGGTGATGAATTAACCCATGCTACTCTTCTTAAAGACTTGGTAGTAAAGTTGTACATGATATGGAATATGGTAAACCAGAAGATGAGTCAAAGACTTAAAACACAAACAAACATGTTCTACTCACTCAGAAATTGGAAAAATCAAGATAGTTAGGTCGTTCTTTCATTAGTTTAAATTGCCATCTTGTTACTTCATCCATCAATCCTAGCTTGAAGAAAATCAAATGGTTTTAGGTGGCTATTTTGCTTTGTTTAGTAATAAATGTTTGCAATTATGCAAGCTTGATGTAACAATAACAATATGAAGAATTCATATATATATGACTATATGAGGTCTTAGGTTTAAGAATTTATATATATGACCATATTTCGTGATTATGTTTGTATTTTTAATTATATATTTAAGCAAGAACGAGTCAAATGCTTATTTATATAATGGTGTATGTACATCATCCATATAATTGTGCATTGATTCAAACTTTTCCAACTTACAACAACTCCATTGAAATGAAAAAAAAAAAAAAAAACAAATCGCAACTCATACTTTACATTGTCTTTATACTTTATAACTCTTTACACAAATCTCATCATTAACACCTTGATATTCTAAAAATATATCTTTAGTTTCACCAAGCACTTCAGATATTTTTTTAAAACCATCTAGTGATGTTGAATATGTGGTTATTTATGATGAGTTAGAATGGACAATGATGTTAATATATGTTTAATATATGTTTAATGATCTCGTAACACCGTAAAGTGTTCTGTTACTTTGTATATGGATTCAATTCCATGATTTGTAAATGGTGAGCTAGAACTCAAAATTTAGTAATGGTGAAATTGAAGCTTGGGCCATGGTGGGATGTTATTGTAACTGTTAATCGGAACAAATAACCAAATAATTGGTCTAACCTTGTGTAAATGAAGAATAAAATAAGGATATGGTAAATTAGGAAGTTGTTGGAAGCTATCAAGACTCTATGGTTAAGGACAATGTATTAATCAATACAAACTCAGGTTTGAAGGTTAAAGAATGTCAAGAAGCATCTAGAGTTACAACTCAAGGTATGTAACAATATAAGTTTGAAAGTTGATTGTGCAATGTTAATGAATGTAACATCATGATTTTGGGCTTTGGAGTTGTGGTTATTTTTAGTGAGAATACTTTTTTGAAATAAATAAAACAGATAAATATAATAAGCCATGGAAATTTATTGAATAAGTTCAACTTGGTGAATTTTAAATTTCAAGACATTAGTAAGATCTATTGTGGGAAACTAAGATTTTAGTGTTGAAGGGCCAATAGTGGCAAGTTTAGAAAATTTGTGGAAGTTTAAATCTAATTAGAAAAACTATTTAAAAAAAGAAAATATGCGATGATATGATTTGGAAGCT